TGCGCACTTAACTAAACCCGCTTCTCCTTTTGGTGCAGATTCTGGCGTTTTCCTCCAACACCATCGATCGTGGCTTGAGTAAGTATGGTCAAGAGACAGAGGAAAACCCAGAGCAATGCAAGACGGTCTTACCGGAGTTTTCTCTCGGCAACTATTCCTGGTCGGCGGAAAAATGCACACGCTCTTTTAAGAAACCGTGGCTTCAAGCTTGCCTCACGCGCTACCATCGTCTACAGATGCAATTTTAATAGACGACGGTGTTCGAGAGCAGTCTCAATAAACAAGTTGCGAAATCTACCTCCTTATCGATGATGCTCGCAACGACAGTAGTTTGGTAAAATGAACAGAATCTTTTGCAGTATACCTTGGATTGAAACTAAATGTGGACAGTGATAACTAAACTGGAGGTAACAATAGTAAAAACGCGGTTGAATAACGGCGTCGCTCTTGCTGCCCAGAGATTTTGCTTACGCGTCGTCTGCTTTCATTCGCTGGTCGGCTACACCTTCTCACACTGCTCCCGACGTCATTTATCAATACGTGCGCCAAACGCGCCCCGCCCCTCGAGTCGATCACCTATGACGCCATGGGCCGTTGACCCTGGCAAGTTTTTTTCTTTACTTATTTTTTTCTTTTCAGAAAAGGAGTTTTGCTTTGAAATGTTACAAGGTAAACCCAACTGTGAAATACGCCTTTGACGAAAATTTTAGATAGCTACTTGCTGGCGCCGATTTTTACGTCTTATTTTAGATCCAGCCTCGGTATTTTATTTCATACACCCTATATCTCAAATGCCCGAACGCCTACGGCGCTGAAGAGAATTATGCAAAAAAATGTATGCCTTGGGTCTCTTGACCGTTGTGACTAGAAATGTCAAAAGAAAAAAAACCTGTTGAACTGGAAATAAATACTGGCTCTTTTATGAGTCTAGACTAAAAAAAAAAAAAAACGGATTGCCTCACCGATGTTTAAAACGCAGCCCAACAGTCAAAACCTAATACATGAAGATACTTTATGCCGAATTTTACGTATGCAGAAACGAACGAACACAGCGAAAATATAGGAACATGTTGAAAAATAGTGTGCTCACGAGGGTTTTAAAAAATTCGGATCGTGACCTATTTTCCTAATCTTGAGTTATTTTCCGATCACTTCGAGGAATTAGTTTTAGATACCTTGTTCATGCGAATTATGAACGAAACCCTCTGGGCGAATCAAAATACATTTCTTCAGCGCGTCCCTTCTACGTTTGTTGTTTACCTCCTAGCTTTATACGTCGGAACGGTGGTATTTGATTTTTCTGACTTTCTTGAACTTTCTATAATAACATCTCGTGTGTCCTGCATGCTAACGTTGCTTGCAGAAGTATGCAGGATTGTATAAACCTTACACATAACTTTTAGGGGAGCAAACTTCTACTGAATAGCATTACTCTTTATTTATATAAGTGTTCAGTGACCCTATGATGGACATGCTCAGATAAATAGTGGTACCCCTTCGTAAGCCAGTCAGAACTTTACTTAGCTTTATGTTGTGAGAGCTTTATTTATTTTCCTTCTCATTACACTGTTGCACATATAAGCTCTCTATTTCGTCGACTGATGACTTTGTCGGTGACCTTGTGAGGTCGATTCGTGAAAGACAGGACAACCGACTTCGTTGGGAACCTTCGTTTTTACTGACCTAATGGCTCTCCTCGCGCCAGCCCCTGCCCCTCATCCTCTTCTTCATTGTAAGCGGACAAGAGTCTTATGTCAGTCCCTGTTCAGTTACAATTATTTTACATATATCCTCCCCGCCCCCACAACGCGAGGAAAATACATTGAAGTTCAAATGGCTTCCAATGGGTACAACAGTTGTACTGGTCTTCGTGTCACTGAACCGGATGGTAGTTTTATGGTACATGCCCTCACATTTCCGTCTCTTCCAGATAGTACATCAATGACACGAACCAAGGTCCACAGATGTCTCGGGGCAATGTCGTCGTGCAGGAGTGCCACGTCTCCGATTTTCGGTGGTCGGCTGTTAAGAGGCGTTGCTAGGTGTGCTGATCGAAGCTCTAGGAGGTATTCTTTTTCCCAGCGTACCCAGAAATTGTTCATGAGCTTCTGTCGATATTGCCACCGTCGTGAAAGCGCATCTCTTGAGGACGCGACTGGGTGTGGCGGCTCCGTCTCTGGCAGGGTTGTCAATCGTCGTCCGATGAGTAAGTGAGCCGGAGTTAAGGCTGTTGGTTCGCTGTTATCTGCGTGTAAGTAGGTCAAGGGTCTAGAGTTGATTGCTGGTTCGATGTCGGTCAGTACGGTAGTTAGCTCTTCAAAAGACAGACTTTGTCGTCCCAGAACTTTCCTCATGCACGTTTTCACCGATCGCACCATTCTTTCCCACCAGCCGCCCCACCAGGCGGCCCGCTCTACGATGAACTTCCACGTTATTCGGTGGGTACTGCAGAAGTCTTGTGATCCGGTACTGCGAATAGCCTCCCATAGAGCTTTCAGATCCTTCGCTGCTCTTTTAAATGTTAATGCGTTGTCGCTATAAATTGTGGTCGGAATTCCTCTTGTAGCCGCGAATCTCCTCAAAGCCAAGAGAAACAATGCAGTGGTCGTAGAGGATACTAACTCGAGGTGTATTGCACGAGTAGTCGCACAAGTGAAGAGAGCAATGTACGTTTTAGCACATTGTCCCTTTGAGCTGGCGAATAACGGCCCCGCGAAGTCGACTCCTACAACCTGGAATGGGTGTCCCTCTTCCACCCTGTCCCGTGGTAGTGGAGCTACTGGAGCCGTGGCTGGCTTTGCGCTGAACCGCCGACAGGTCCGGCACTGAGCGAGGATCTTCTTCACAATTCTTCGTGCTCCTGGCAGCCAAAATCTTTCACGTAGTTCTGTCAATGTGGCCTGCAGGCCTCCGTGTACTGTTCTGAGGTGTGTTGCAGTGACCAGCAGCTTAGTGTACGGGTGGTCTCCCGATAAAAGGATAGGGTGTCTTACGTCTTTCGTCAAGGTAGCTTGATGAAGTCTGCCTTGTATGCGCATGATTCCGGTTTCATCAAGAAACGGCTGTAGATCACTTATTTTAGATCTTGTAGCAATTCTCCCAGTTTGTATTATCTCTTGTATCTCCTTATCGAAGCATTCCTTTTGAGTGTGTTTAATCCAGAAAAGTTCCGCATCCGTAATTTCTTGTGTAGTCAATGGTAACTCAGCTGACCCATTATTCTGGCGGCAATTGTGCACAAATCTTTTAACCCAAGCAGTTACCCGCAACATCTTGGTGTAGCTGCTGAAATTTTCAATCGCCAAAAGCGCAGCTTGTTCATGTACAACAGTCAGCAGCGTTTCGGTTCGCTGCTGTCTCTCCCCATCAATGTCTTCAAGGTTCTCTACGGGTGTACTAACTGGCCAGTTTCGCTGTTCGAGGGCAAGCCATTCCGGCCCTGACCACCATACCTGTTGGGTCTCTAGCTGTACTACAGTCTTTCCTCTAGTGAGAGCGTCGGCTGGGTTCTCGTAACCTGGGCAGTGGTGCCAACTGGACGGATCACTGAGTTCTTGTATTTCTGTCACCCTATTGCACACAAAAGGTTGCCACTCGGTTGCCAATCCCTTAATCTAGCCAAGTGTTATAGTAGAGTCTGTCCAGTACCATATTGTAACGGTGTGGCCCAACAATTAGCTACGAAGATATGTAGCAATGCGTGCTCCCAATAGCGCTCCCATCAGTTCTAACCGTGGAAGGGTTAGTGTCTTCAGTGGAGCAACTCTAGCCTTGGAAAATATCAGATTCACGCTGACTTCTCCTTTCTTGTTCACTGCACGGAGATATGCGCAGGTACCATACGCCAGAGGGCTAGCGTCGGTGAAGATGTGAATCTCCAGCTCGCTTTCACCTTCGACACCCAGCAGATATCTCGGCGTCGTGATTTGTGGTAATTCCGTTAAATCGGCGCACCAGGATTTCCACTCTTGCAAAAGAGCCTCTGTCAGAACCTCATCCCATCCAAGTCCGCATTGCCATATACGTTGAAATAAAATTTTCACTCTTATAACATACGGCGACAGGAAACCGAGGGGATCGAAGATCCTAGCCGAGGCCTTGAGTACGGAGCGCTTTGTGTTCAGATTTGTAGAAAGTATCTCCAAGAGATGATCAGCAGAGAACTTGAAATGATCCGCGTTTTTATCCCACACCAATCCCAATATCTTGGTGACCTCGGGGGACTTAAATGGCTTATTTTCGAATGAATGATCGACGTTATCCGCTCTTTGATCAAAGAGTTCCTGGAGTTGAGAAGAATTGGTGTTCCACTTTTGCAGTTCCATGCCTGCTTCCCTGAGTAAAGTGAGTGCTCCGTCAGCGAGTCGCTGTGTTTCCTTAATGTTCGCTGCTCCAGTTAGCAGGTCGTCCACGTAAAAGGATCGGAGTAAAATAGTTGCGATGTCGTTGTTGGGTCCACCCACGTTTTGCAAGTGGTGCTGTATCGTAGCCCCGAGTAGGAAGGGACTGGAAGTTGTTCCAAAAGGAACCCTCGTCATGCGCCACTCCTTCGTGTTTGGCAGTGGCTCGTTGGGTTTGGGTGTATTTTCAAACCAAAGAAACCGGAGAGCGTCCCTGTCACGCTCCGAGATGACTATTTGTAAAAACGCCTTTTGAATATCTGCAGTGATGGCCACCTTCTGCATTCGAAATCTGAGTAGGACGGGCAAAAGCTCCGTGTTGATCGTTGGACCCTTTTCAAGGTGATCATTGAGAGATCCGGTGTTTGCTGCATGGGAAGATGCGTCGAATACTACTCTAAGTCTAGTTGACTCCGAGTTAACTCGAATTACTGCTCGGTGAGGCATGTAATAAACGTGCCTGTAGGTTGATGCATTTAATTCTACCTCTTCGGCGTGTCCATCTTTAAAGTAACTACGTATTGCTTTGTCATACTGGGCGATAGAGCCATCTTGTGAGAGACGGCGTACAAGACTTCGGAGTCTGGTTTTGGCAATCATTTAATTATCTCCAAGGGTCGTTTTTGTCTCCTTCCACGGCAACGCGACCTCGTACCGACCGTTCTTTTGTCGGATGTTTTCCTTGAATTGCTCAAACACCTTTTCTTCCTGTTGTTTCTTATCCATAGGTTCATCCACGATTCCAATGGTCTCCAGTTCCCAGAAATGTTTTAACGCTGCATCATCTTCTTCGTCAGCCCCTCCCACGCTCAACACGCACACCATCAAATTTGTGGTATTATCTGAGAAGACATTCACTGTGCTCGTTGGACCCTGAAAGGTCCATCCCAAAGTCGTTGCGATGGCTACTAGCCCGGTGTTGCAAGGTGAGCGGCGCGTCTCGCCGGTCAACGATTTCCACATTTGGTCCGCTCCAATTAAAAGGCTTATGCCCGCTTCCACTTGAGTCGATGGAAACATCAACTTGTCGGCGATGTCTCCTGGGATAGTCTTGAGAAATGTGTGCTCTACTGGAGTTTCTATGATGTTTTGACAGATGAAAGGCACGACGACTGCTTCTAAGACATGATCCGCTGTCTTATATTGGCCCCTAATATGGATTCTAACTACGGTGAACTTCTGCCTACACCTGTTTGAGTCACTGCAAGCAAAGGTGTTGAGTTGCATGATACGTTCCCCGACAACCTTCAAATTAAGCTTCCTAGCCAAGTCTTCCCTGATGAAAGTCTTTTGGCTCCCTCCGTCGATAATGCCGCGGATGTAAGCTTGGTTCAGGCCGGTTCCAACCCAGCTTCGGAACGTTTGTAATAGGACGCTCGGAGTCTGTTCTGTCGGGGTACTACCGGCGGTAAGAACGTTGGCAGTCTCCTGAACAGTTGATAAAGCTTCCCACGCCGGGTTACACATTGAGGTGACATGTCTTCCCCTGCATCCGGTACATCTCTGTTGACTACGGCAATCCCTTGATCGGTGACCTCGCTTCGTGCAACGAAAGCATCTCATGTCTTGCGCTAGCATTTTCTTTTTCTCATCTAGTGTGATATCCGATGGACAATCACCGGTACGGTGAGTTCGGTAGTTGCAAAAGAAGCAGGTGTTGTCTGTTCCGCTAGTGTGCAACACCAACGTTGATGGTGGATTGGCGCCTTGCCTCTGATTTTGCGCCACTGTCGGCACGGTTGTCGGCCTTCGCTCGAGTGGCGATGACTGTTCTCTGCTCTCTATCTCCACGCGCATAAAACGCAAGAGTTTATCCAACTCCTCTTATGAATCTGTTGGCGAAGGCGAGACGTCGTCTAACGGTTGTCTATCGTCAGTCGTTCGGGCTCTTTCTCTCCCGTTGATTGGAACTCCAAGCCCTATCCCGTATCTTTTGAGTCGATGGTACTCCACCACTATATCGGTCGGGAGGTTGGACAGGAGTACGTCCACCATCATAGTAGAATACGTTGCACTCGAAACGCCTAGGGCACGCAAGCCACGAATGTTGGTCTGGACGTGGTCGTAAATATTCCTTAGTCCTCGTACATCTCGATCTGACTTCACCGTTGGTAGGCTTCGCAGTCTTTCGAGGTACTCACGCTGAATGCGTTGCTTGTTCCCGAAGCGTTCGGACAGTATTTCTATGGCGTCCCTGTAGCACTCTGCCGTTGCTTGTAACCCGAAGATAGCACTGGCAGCTGGCCCACTCAGAAGGGAGCGTAGATATTGGAATTTGTCTCCCTCCGTGAGTCTGGTGTTACGGTGAACGGCAGTTTGGAATTGCTCCCAGAAGGGCTGCCAGAGGGTAAGCTCACCTTGATACTGCAGTAGTTGTAGTTTAGGGAGTTTCACGCCCGTGGCCTGGGGTATGACTCTGTCACCGTCGTCTCCCACCTGGTAAATGGCTGGTGCTGCCGGTTGACGCTCGATTTTGTTGCGTACCTCACTGAGGGCTCTTGCTACTTGATCTTCGTAGTCTGCCACAGCAACATAGTCCGCTTCGAGGTCGGCATCGGTGATCAGCGGCTCAATCTCTTCGTTGACCTTGCGGAGTTCCTCGTTGCTGGCGATCAGCCTGTCTCGTAGGTTCTTCAGGGAGTTGATGTCAAGGGTTGTTGACTGGAGCGCAGTCGTGATATCGGCAATTATCTTCGTGTTCTGGCTCCGTCGAACCCTCCGCTTCGTCTTCAGCCGATTCATCCTGATGTTGATTCCTCACTTCCAAAGGTCCCGGGTTTCTTGCACCATTAATTGTGGCACATATAAGCTCTCTATTTCGTCGACTGATGACTTTGTCGGTGACTTTGTGAGGTCGATTCGTGAAAGACAGGACAACCGACTTCGTTGGGAACCTTCGTTTTTACTGACCTAATGGCTCCCCTCGCGCCAGCCCCTGCCCCTCATCCTCTTCTTCATTGTAAGCGGACAAGAGTCTTATGTCAGTCCCTGTTCAGTTACAATTATTTTACATACACGTCAAGTTTTCTTTGTGAGTGTTTGAGATCTTTTCACGCATTGTAAGGCTTGAACCACTCGTGTACTTTGACCTGAAGGGACGATGAACGAGTTATTTATTCAAGCGATGTATGTTATTGCAATACATTAGATAACAACGTACGTTTCTTCAAAACGTTAAGGCATAATGGAAGTCTCTGAATTTGATCTGTTTTTTCAAAATATAATCAAGGAGGAATACTTTTTGCAAGTTAATACTTAAGTAAAGAAGTTGTAACATTGCCCTGTATGTAAAAACCGATTATAACTACAGAAGCAAATGACGAAGTAACTAAATATTAGCATATGTTTCTCCTAAAGTACAATCTCCTGCAATATGAAGGACCCACTGGGAGCGCCTGGTCAAGAGAGCGGCGGATGGGGTGCTGCACGCGCTCCAGGCGTTTCCATTGCACCTCAAGGTGAGGACACTTACCCGGCGCCCAACCGAACCGGACCGAGTTTAGTAGTTTTGGGCTTCGGCTTAGCGGAAGAGCGCGCTTCGTCCGTGCCAGGCCTTTAGTCAGGCCAAGAGATGTGGTAACCAAGGCTCGAAATCAGCATAGTAATCACGTTTTCTTATGGGTTGTTTCAGATAACTGTCAGAACAGACACTGTAAAAAAAACATATTACAGTTATACATGAGTTGTATATTTAAATGATAAACAGCGTTGAAGAGTGCATTCGATCGTAGGAAAGATGGCACGAATCTCGCACTTTAAGGCAAAATAATCGCCTTGGCTCAGGCCTGTCTCTCTCAAGCAGCAATTGTGACGTTAGTAGGACATAACCGTCGCATGACGCAGACGAACTGCTCTTCACCGCCAAATTTTAGCTCCCCCCCCCCTTTGAGATCCCCCCTCTGGGCAGAATGGGATCGCCCGGACCCAGCCAGTCATCGTCTCGTCCACGCGCCCCCAGTGGGTCTTTCGTATTGCAGGAGACTGTAAACACTTATTAGGGTGAGGCAGTGTAAAATGAGAAAAATTCAAATCAATGACTTTTAGCTTTGCGAATGAATTGAAAAATCGTATGAATTTGCTTGACGACTTTGCATTGCGGTCAGTAAAGATGATTAGGTTCGAGCTAGTAGAAGAACAAGATATTGATTGAGAATAAAGAGTCAGAAATGTTTTGTTTTGTCCCGACACCCAGTGCAAAACGAGGCACCTAGTGTGAAAAAAAAATGAGAAATCCCGGCCAAAATAAAATATATTTCAGTTATTGCGCTCGGAAGATTTGAAGTATACTCCCTGGGCCCCTACGCAACCTTCAGGAGCCCACACTTTGAACGTCGTACATTGGATTCACACAGAACAAAGAGCTCCTTTGCTTCTTTTTTTTTTCGTTTTGCAGGCGCGCGTGCACGCCGCTTTTAGTTTACCGGCTTATTTAGCGAATGAAGAGTCTGCAGTCCATATGCATCAAGTAGAAGACTCTCCCTTTTTGGTTTATTTGTTTCACAGTATGTATAAACTATCCTTCAGACATCCTCGTACGCGAGCACAAAAAGGGGACCTCCACACACAATGTGCTAGAGGAGTGGTTTTTCTTGCTGATCGGAAATAATTTCACGATTTGACGATAACTAAATTTTGTAAAGCACTTTCTTTTTACATTCGTTGTGTTTCCTCACACACTTTCAAGTGGATCCTTAGGTATTCCGAAGGCTTTGGCTGCAGCACGAATAGACTGACGCTTGCTGAATCCTACCTTCATATGCTGTCTTGATGTTACTTTCGTGTCATGAAGCCCTGGATGATTTGCTTTTTGAACGTCGAAACCCTTCTACGCAATAAAAAAAAGTCATTGCTCGGGAGTTGGAACGAAACACTGAACTGGGCAAAAAACATGAAAGGCGTTTACAATTCCCTGTAATGCCGAATTATGGCGCAGCTCTTGAAAAGGAAGAGCGGAGGATACGGAAAGGAAGGTATGCCACTCCTCCTCTTCCTCCCCTCCTCCTCCTCCTCTCCTCCTCCCCATTCCTCCCTCCCCTCTCGTGACGTCACTCGTGACCCTCGGGACGTCACTCGTGAAGGCCTTGTGAAGGTCGTGACCTTCGTCGTGAGATTCACGAGTTACCTTCGTGATGTCGCTCGTGACCCTCGTGACGTCACGTGTGACGTCATTGTGGGAAACGTCCCATAATGCAACGCCCCGTTACGGCGACGCCACTCAAGCCGCAAATGGGCCCCTAAGAGTTGCGCTCTAATAAGTTTACGCTTCTAGATAGTGGGATTATTTGAACGATTTTATTGTCACAACAATAGAAGCCTTGAGCAATAACATTTCATCAGCACTTAGCTAATAAAACTGACAGCTAACATAAAATCTTTTTGAGGGGCAGTAGCTGTTCTAAGCTCAGCTGTACGCCTCCAGAGGGACGCAAGTCCAGTATTTCACCTCATTTTAGCGGCTCGTGGAACCACGAACCGGCATGCACAATTCGGCGTCCACAATATTACTGTGGGTCCTACGTCGGCTATGCGAGGGCAAAGTTGGCGTAGTTGAGCCGAAAGTGTGGGCTTGCCCACTTCGGCTGCCCACCCAAAAACCTTGTCGGTCCCATTTCAGCTACGCGAGGTCATGTCCAACTTGCGATATCCCTGAAATACCTACATGGGGCTTACCTCGATGATTTGGGGTCAGAGTTGACGAAAAGGTGCGCTCCACAGGGGCAAGTTTTGCACATGCGGAACTCAGGCTGCCCGTGCAATACCGCCGTGAATTCCACCCCAGCTATGCGGGGGTAAAATTGGCGTAGGTGTGAGCTCCACCGTGGCAAAGCGCGTACATGCCCAACCTGGGCTGTCGGTGCAATGCCTCTTGTGCGTTTAAAGCTCTCTCTATATCCGCCGACTTTGATAGCGGCGCGGAGGTCCTTTACCGAAAGAGTGGAAGACCAACTTCAACGGGAAAACGTTTAATACACTGACTCGTCAGCTTTCGCTAGCTCTATCTCATCAAGCCCCTTTTTCTTCTAGGGGAAATCACAATCCTCTGCAGTTGCTATTTCGCATTAAGCATTCAACACCCTTTTCACCCGAAAGCTGAGAAAAGTATAAAGTTGTGCTATCAATACGTTTCCAAGTGGTACAGCACTCCCGAGGTCACCGTGCGGTTGTTCAGGTTCTTCCTAGCACTACTTTAGCGAGTGGCCGTCCGCAGCAAACATTTTTTTTCCTCCTGCAGTGCCTTGTGCACTCCAGGTGTCTCGTGCGTTCCCAGCAAGACCTGCAGTTCACAATATTCAGCCTCGAGGGTCCGTCGTCATTTATGGTTAAGGCTTCGCGTTCTTCTAGGATAATACGCTCCCGCTCGTTCCGTAGCCGGATCCTGGTGGGGTCCGGTGTGCTATTGGGACTACGATAGCTTTGGCGTTTTATAAAGCATCTTACACACACCATCGAACACAAATTAGGACGTCGAAGGAAGGACATCGCTGACGGCCAACATGCACTTACCGAAGCTTAGGCGGGAATATATGTGCGACGAACGATTTCGCATACACTGGAAGACACTACAAAGTAGTGGAGTCCAAAACACAAACTAGTCGCAGTTCACATCTATACCGAGAGTGACAAAAAAACTGCTTCTCGGATCGGCCTACTACAAACCCGCCGTCGGAAGGCGAAGTCGGTCCGACTTTACCTGGATCGCGGATCTCAGAGGTCCCGAGCGAATACACAGTGTTCTGTGGAGACATCAATGCCATGCACGAAGCGTGGAGCTCTCAGAGCTATACTTAGAGAGGGGCGGAGCTCTACGACGCAGAAGAAGAAGCAGAAATAATCTTAGTCAACGATACGAGCGTCCCCACGCGGTACAGCATGCGTGCCAGGCAGAAAGATTCGTTGCTGGAACTTACCTGTGCCCAACCGAAAGCAGAAGACAAACTCAACTGGAACACCCTTGTCCATATAGTACAGCCCAGAGCGTCAGTTCGACGTACAAGCACTGACTTTGAACCGACGGTACCAACTTTCACGAATGGCCTGATAGCCGAGTTATACAACTTATTAAAAAAGATAATGTACGTGTGACTGACTGCAAATTAAAAAAATAGTCCGGGTTTTTTAGGTTCTACTACAAAACCTCAGTGTTTTTTCTGTAGTCCTTGATACGTACTTTATCAGTTTATTAAGCTATATCCCACCGCAATTGAGCCTCTCGTAAACGTTTGGGCGTCAGTTCGACGTCAGTGCGCTCGCTGCAGGTCGTACTGCATTTTGGTGTCTCATATATGTGACAAGGGGTGTAATGGCTACACCATTTTTAGAGTGTGGTGACCATCTCCCCATTGAAATATCGATGACGCTGGACTCACCTGAAAGGTCTAAGAGGACCACGCGCACACAGGCTTCAGGAGTTTTTTCAAGGGACGCATTGATCAAGTCTAAAGCGAAATCCCGTCAAAACTCTTAACCTAAGCAGTCGAGGCAGCCACGGTCACTCGGCAGGTGAGCCGAGACACTCCAACACCAGGCACTTACCACCTCTCCTTATGGGACCAAATAAAACTCTAATGAAGAATACACCAGGAAGTCCTGGTGTGACATCATAGAATCCTGGTGTAACACCAGAAGATCTGGTGTGCCCAGCAGCAACGCTCGTGTATCGAGCACATTAGCCTGGTGTGCCCACTAGCAATAATGAGTTATCGAGCACACCAGCCTAGTGTGCCCACCAGCAATGCTGGTGT